TTACAGACCTGTATCCTATTTGAACTTTTTGTAATTAGATACCTGTAATTAATTGGATACCCACGTGATTTGCATGTCAATTGCGCGCTCTTTAACGGGTTTAGTTTCCGGTGATTGGTTTGAAAGAAACTTAACGGCCAGTTTGCAAGCTATTCCCATATTCTTAATCATGATATTTAAAAATGACTATTAAAAGCTATTTTTCAAATTGTGGGAAATTGTAATGGTTGTGATTAATTGGTAACAGGACAGTGTGTTGTCCAATTCAGTCTGTAATCATATCCGTGATTAACAAATCCAATTGCGTATTTACTTCATACACATGTACGTGAAGGTTTTTCAGAAGTCATTGGTTATCAAGCTTTGCTTCCTTCAGGTTTTGTATGTATCAGCCTGATGTGAAAGGAATGTTAAGAATTCTATTACGCCATCGGAGGCGTTTGGTAAGTTATTCTTACTGTTTGTCTTTTTAAATTAATATTGGTAACGTTTGATGTAACGTTTATGACTCTGTCTAGTCCCCACATGCTCAGTGTACAAATTGCCACAAAATCTGAAGGAAAAAAAAACAGACCTTCCTTGGCAATGAGAATTTTCTCCTATTTTTGCTTCCCTTGATACTTTGGTTAAAATTAAAAAAAAACAACAAACAAATGTTAAGGCAACTAATATTTTTGTCTTCCAGAGAGTAGCTGACATTTCCATTTCTCTTTCCAATAAACCTACAGTGTTCACATTTTCACAAAACTAGCGAAAAACAAACCTTTCCTACTAGTGATGCTTTTTTTGACAGTTATTGGCTTCGTTAAATTTTTTTATAGCAACTTTTCCAAAGACAGCAAAGACTTGACTAAATTTTTTTGCCTTCTAGACTAGACTAGAATGCAATTAGCTTTTTCATTCTCCTTACTTTATCCATTTTTCATAATGCAATCTTGTTAATAAATAAATCTAATTTACAGTTTTAATGTCATTTAGTCCACTAGGCTGCTCTTGAGGCCATGCACCAGTCTTAGTTAGAGAATACCTGGCAGTAATATTTCATAAAGAATTAGTAACCTTTGGAGAATTTTGTAAATTATTTCAGATCTGCAGTATTTTCCTCCATTTTCTCATGTTTGGAGACAACCTTGTTCTCTGGCTCTCTCTTCTGCCTTCCTTAGTCATTGGGAGAAAGACCCTGGTTGCAACTGGTCACGTGACCACCCAGAATCTGGGTGGTAAAAAAAATCTGAAAAAAAAGCTTTGATTGCTGCTGTGATAAACTTTATGCCAATTTGTGGGTTTCAAATCCTCGAGCAGTAGCTAAAAACTATAACTGCTTTATTGGGGTTCAACATCTAATGTTGCCGATGAAGAATGCTTCATTATTTCTGCTGTCTCCAAAATATAGAAGACTTTCATTCACAAAGAAAGTCGGCAGCTGAATGCAACACGAACTCTTTGACGGTTAGCACATGTAAAACGTCACGTACCGAATCAAAGTGAAACAAGTGGATCAGTCTCTTGAATCTTTGAATTCGGAGGTAATTAAGCTTCTTCTTTGTGCATTATTTGGGATGTTGAAAAGTATCTCTGTCACATGTCCGCTGGCAAGGCTGATCCGATTAGCGGAGTATTCTGACTTGCACATTTTGATTTACAGCAATGCAAAATGATTTGCAGTTTTGTTGACATAAACTCACTCTTACATTTCACCTGCATCAGGTTTAATTTATCACTGGCTTATATAAGTTTACATTTAGGTATAGTCAAGAATTATATTTTGCAAAATGGTGAATAAAACATTGCTTTAATATAGCAAGCAATGTGCTGTGAGGTTAATTCAGGCAACATGAAACAGTGAAACAGTTTAACTTCTTCTGCTACTTAGTAAATTGACTGCCTGGAATTGAAATCAGAGTTATACTTCAATACGCTAGATATGCAATATAAATACCATTTAAATTATTTTGTTTGACCTGTGTGAAGCTTAGAGTAGGACTAGAGAATTTCAAAGGTTTATTTGGCCATGTGTTTGATTTTAATATAGCCCTTTCATTTTACAGTGTAGTTGAGTTCGACAAAAAGCAATTATCTGTGGACTCTTCCCCGGTGGAAAAGTTTGTGTCACAGGTGGTCCCATGACCAACTGCAACCAGGGTCTTTCTCCCAATGACTAAGGGAGGCAAAGGAGAGAGCCTGGGAATGAGTTTGGTTTGTAGAATGGACCACTATGACGATGTCCCGCACTATCAACAGTCATCAACAGTCATGCATTATCATCAATTTATCATACCAAATTAATTACATATGAAAAGTGTAACAAGAATCCATCGCATTAACCCATGGATCGGAAATATCAGATCCCAGACGTGCTAATTTTCACAGTGAAATGTATGCCAGGGCTGATGCACTTGCCCCTGGCATACATTTCGTTGTAGAAATTGGCATGTTTGGGGTCCCATATCTCCATATATTTAACACTTAAAGTTTGGCACAAATGATAAATAATATTGAGAAGTTAGGCATATTTTTGTTTGAGTGCAAAAACCAGAGAGGCATGACATCATCAAATTGATATTGCCTTTGTTTTCCACACAGATTTTTCTTTTTGCTGTTGCCCTGCTGCTGGGTTTTGGAATTAATATTCGAAGTTATTTATCAGGTGAGACCCTGAATGTGTTTCTAAAGATGTATCTAAGGGCATTTTTCAATCATTGGTTCTTATTTCTGGTATCTGTAGCATATTATATAATAACCCAATTCATTCTCGCATTTTGATTGGTTCTTGCCTATGATCTATTAGAGGACAGACACATGATTGACGTCATCATTACAAAGTTTTTCCCTCTGTGTTTTGAAATGGCGGAAAGTTTTGAGAATTTAGATAATGTTTTACATGACTGGGCAAAAGATAAGGTACAAAAAAGTCTTGTCAAGGCATTGAACAGGTACGAGAAGCATAGCCTAGCAGGAAGGAGAAAGATAAAGCCGTTTCTTTTTTAGAATATGACTCAGAAAAAATACTCGAGCAGTCTCAGTCGGCAGTCGAGCGAGACTAAACCAAACGCAAAATTGTTCTTGGTAGGCCGAGAACCATTGCTTTATCTCGAATTTAACAAACCCAATAAACAAAATGTTTATGAGATTAATTTATTGAAAAATT